CACTACGTGAATATTAATATTAAATTATATGTGATCAAAGGACTCACCCCCCTCCCAAAAATCCTGGATCCGCCCCTACCCATTTTCATTTGTTCTTCTGCTATGCTTTCAGTTTCCGTGTTCGTTGGTTTTTAACAATCACGCAATAAACAAAAGGTGACTTCCCTCTCTACTTTCGTCATAATTATGGTTATTGATTGCTCGTTTTCAATTAAGCTTATCCATTCAAAAGACAAAAGACTGTGGTCTGAACAAACAATGCTTCAGTCACTAATATGAGAAATCCTTTGTTAGGTAAGAACTTGTAGCAAGAAAGATGACAAAGTTGTTCAAACAACTGTGAAATAATCAGGTACCTTGTTATTATTTAACTTGCAGTTTTCATCAGTTCTTGCGACGTCAGTTCTTGCTGTACGTGCAACGAGCTAAAAATATGGCCGCCGCTCATCGGACGCGCCGCTCTGGACGCGCGGTTTGCAAATGAGCGCGAAATTTGTCACGTGACTAGAACCTTGGTGAAAGGATGCATGGGAAAAATAACAATAAACAAGAAATAGAAAAATAATAACTGTTTGTAAAAAAATTAAGATGCAAAAGCCAATCAACAAGTTAATTCACCAAGCTCAAGATTTTTCTTGTGAGAGCATTTGTCGACCAAAATGAAATAATATCAAGTACCAATAGAATGATAAATCCAATCCTGAAAAAGAAAGGAAAAAAAAAAAAACCGCCAGAAAACAAGGATGTTCCATGTTAGAGAGCAATCAAAAGTGCGGAAGTTATTTCGAAATATTTTGGCATTAAAACTAATCAGTATCASTTTATTTTCGCAATTTGTATAACCGGCTTGCCACTCGATCCGTTTTAACGTTCTCAAATGYTTCTTTATGCTCAAAGTTAAAATCCTTGTTTCTAGTATTATAGGTTCATTCATGACGAATGATAAGCCRTGAGCTCCATCCCTCCCCGTTCTGAACAACATCACGTAATCCTTCCCAGCATTCTTAGCGCGCTTTGCTAAAAATACAAAATTTCGTGCAGTTGTGTGCGAAAAACAGATGCTATTTTGACTGTTCACTTTTCTTTCTGCTTCTTTCGTGGATTATTTCTTTTGTACATGGTACTTTACTAATTTTATAAAGGTGAAAAGAAGTTATTTTTGTATTGTAACACGAACTAGAAGTAAATCAATCTCCGTTGACCAGAAACATGGCGTCTGTTTTGAAGAAGTTGGTTCGACGAGACGCACGRAATCTGAATGGCAATATCCCCAATGGCAGCTCACAATGCAACCATAAACAGTCCAAAGAAAAGGAAGATAAAGAAGAGACAGATAAATCTACAGGAACAGGTGCTCAAAAAAAGCAAGAATCGACGGCGGCGACTTCGAGCGAAGTTGCGTCTATGTCTTTGTCTCATGCACAAAGAGTTCGAACCAGGCGACTTATGAAAGAATTCCATGACGTTAGCCGAAAGAACGATTTGAAAATATTCTCAGCAGAATTAGTAAGGGATAATCTATACGAATGGAACGTTAAGTTACACACAATCGATGGAGATAGCCTACTTTATCGGGACATGGTTGAAACTGGAGCTAAATACATCCTTCTCAATATCACGTTTCCGGAGAATTTCCCCTTCGCYCCTCCGTTTATGCGGGTGCTTGCTCCTCGTATTGAAGGTGGATTCGTACTAGATGGTGGTGCTATATGTATGGAATTGCTTACACCTAGAGGATGGAGTAGTGCCTATACGGTAGAGGCAGTTATCCTACAGTTTTCTGCTGCTGTGGTCAAAGGCAAAGGACGAATTGATCGGGGCTGCAAGAAAGCGTTTTCTAAAAAAGAAGCGGAAAGTGCTTTCAAGCGCCTTGTTAAAACCCATGAAAAATATGGTTGGGTGACACCACCAAAATCCGAAGGATGAAAAATGTCTTGCGGATCGATAAAGGTCTTTTGTAGTTTGTAAGTTTTATTTTGGCGTTCTTCTCTAGTGATTTCCATTGTCAACAACTTGTACACATGTWAGAAATCATCCAACCGATTCACAACAACTTTTACATTAATTTTACTACTTTTTTCAGAATATTTCTTTAAAGGGTTAGGTAAATATCTTCACAGAATTATGAAGATGAAGTAAAGTGGTACTTACAGTATTTGAGCAAAAACAATAAACATTATATCAACAAAATGTGATAGAATACAAAAGGTACAACGAGCCCCTAGCTATTATTAATTTGAATTTTTTATTTTGTCACTATATATAATCAAAAATTTGTTAGATTTGTATGGAATTACTTCAAATTCACAAAAAGTTCAAGGCGTGAAAATAGAATTTCCTGACCAGTAATGGTGCTGGTTGTTAATGGACCAATGTCCAAAACATCAGTAAGTTAATTTTTATTTTACTATGTACAATAGATTTATCACCTTATCACAAATAAGCACCAACAGAGGACGATTTTCCCTTGCATARCTGTGCAGTTATCTGTTTTTTTAAGCAATGTTGTGATATGCCAACAATCTTCATCATAATCATCATTGGTAATTGCCACATAGCTGTACCTTGATTATAAAAGATAGAATCCACTATATTGCTGAGATTTACCAAAAAAATTATAAAGATTGATTCGAACATGGAGTTCCTGGAGTACAGTCGAAGAAACTGAAATATTCTAAGTACGATAAAAGTTGATTGATTTTTTTAGGCTACAGAATTGAATTACACCAGAGGTTGGAATTTACCCCTTCTCATTGTTTATTTATGGTTGTTAATTTTGACAGGAAACCAACCTCTTCTGGCACAGATAGGAAATATAAATAAGCTGAACAGTGTTTCACTGTGTTTCTCTAGTTATATTGAATAATTCCCACAATTACTTTGAAGTGGAACACAAATCAGTGACCTGTAACTGACCTGTAACTATACCCAATGACAACTCATCCACAGCTTTGGTCAACCATATCTCTCTAATTTAATGGACCAATCAACTGYAATTTTCAGAGTTGGTATGTGAAAGCTAGCATGGAAGTGAGAATTACTATTTGTGCCACCAAAGGTTTTTCTATTTTTGGCATTACTGCCTCAAAATAAACTGAATGGGAAAGTGTAAAATCCAACCTCTTTTTCCCAGAGTAGATTTAAATAAAAGCTAAGTATTTTCTGAGAATTCTAAAATTTTGATTTGACTTGTGTGAATATAGCTCAAAATCTTATTCATTTCAAACATGTCTGACTATCCCAGTAAGATTGATAAAATACGATGTTAGATATCAAAACAAAACATTGGTTTAGGAGACATCATTCACTGTACAAAGTCCAAAACTGTCTTTCTAATTTGTACAATACCTGGTCAAATAGATTAGTTGGCCATTTTAATATAATTATTGTACATAGTTTCTGTTGAGAAAAAAAAAGTTTTRTTCGTGTTATTGCCATATGATATTCCTTTTTAATACCCATGAAATAGATATCTTACTATTTAGCATGTCCAGAAATTCTTTGTTTTTGTAACAAGTGCTAAATAGTGAAAAGTTTTTCATGGTTACAGAGTGAGGGCAATGAAATAGTGCAACAGAAACAATAAAGCAATGGGATTAGATACTTTAAGGAGTGCTATACTTATATTTCATTATAAGTCAAAATCAGAGTTCACAATGTTGCTGTGTGTATCAGGATTTCAATAACAAACAGCRATGAATCAGAATGATCATCTATTTAGAGCTGTGCTGTTTAAACTGTGATAAGGCTTATATGTTTGATGCCCTCATTCTATTATACTCAAATGTACTAATAATAACAATGGAATGGGACCGTTCCTCTGGTGGAGAAGTAAAAATGATTAACAACTGTTGTTATTGAGTTGAATAAATTGTTAGTAGTAAAAAAGTGCAGTAAATGCATACTCACCAAGCAATGTCTAGGATAGTCTGAACTTCACAAATTAAATGCATAAATATGTAGTGGGGCATATTTTATCACTTCATTTAATACAACTGCAGTTGAATTTTACGGCTGAAACAGTAGAACATAAAGCAATARTATATGGTAGTTGATTTTAACACCATACAATATCCTGCATCTGCCCRGTTCTTATAATACTTTTAATGGAAAAGTTGCCTAGGAAACTGAGGTTTGGTAAGACTGGGTAAGAGAATGGAATTCGGATCTATATTTGACAAAAATGTATTTAAATCAGTTCTAATTGACAGTATAACCTGGGAATTGGACTTGTCCTAGTAGGAGATGAAAAACAGGGAAAAGTATCATAGGTAAAAGTCTTAAATAAGAATTGCACAACTCAAATATATGACTCACTGCTGGCAATTGTATGTGACCATTGGTGGGTTTTCTTTTATGTACCACTAAAACAAGTAAAACTTAGATAAAAACTCTCAGGAGTGGATGGGCATTTAGCTCAAAGCTACAAATGCATGACCCAGAGTTTCAATTGTTTTTAAGCACAAATATTCCCAAGATTTTCACAAATTTACTAAAAATTTGATGTGATCTGAAGGATGTTTACTCCCTCACTCATCCTTCAATCTCCTAAAATCATCACCTATCTGACAGGGATTGGCGACCTAAGCTAAGTGATTTATCAAATGATACATTAATTTGTCCATTCAATATATTGTCCACTGTCAAGTATTCATCCACATTGTTCGTAACTCTATTTGTGTCCATTTGAAGTCCTTGGTCAAATTCCAGCTTGCTATTGAGATGAGAAGGAAACTGATTAAAAGATTCTGGATCTCCTCTTCTTTTATTAAAGAATGAAACTACAAGAGATCCTTGGGAGATGTGAGCTGGTAGAAGAAGCAACTCTTTCACGTATTGCGAGATTCTGGGTTTGCGCTTTTCTGCAAGTTGTATATCACTCTTTTTAAATATTTCTCTTCCTGAAATAATGAAAACAAAAAATTGTGAGGAAGTTATAAAYTAAGATACATGAGGGAAATCCCTGATTTCTTTCATTTTCTAAGGAATGAAGCAATGCATATCTCATTGTAGAAAATAAGAAGGAAAACGAATTCTAAATAAATTTTGAAGAGGTGTGTGCAATTGAAGTCCATGAAACAGTTGCGTCATGAGTGTTGCAATACCATACCAGGTAAGTGTGGAATGATTCTCGCTTTGTTTTTGTTGCCTGCTTCTACAGGAAAACTGTTCAACAAAAGACATTGAAGCTCAAAAAACTCGCTGTAACTCCTCCAAACTACTGTACTTGAACTATCTGACCACTCAACTTTGAACACAAACGCATACTGTTTCTTCTTGTCGCGAGTTCTCTCTCTGAGCATCACGAGATCAGCTGATAAAACGTACACAAAAGGAACATCTTCTGTACTTTCCACCAAATCTTTAAGATCCATTGTACTARWGTTAGAGACGAGTATTTTGCTTAAAGCTTTCAAAGAACAATTTTCTAGCTTGACCTGTGACTATTTMAAAACACAAGGCTAGCGGTGCTGATTGTGACAGACACAAGAGTAACGCAGGGAACAACATTTGCCCTGACAGTCAACCAATCAAATCTTGCTTTGTGTAAATAGTACATTTACATATCAAAACATTGGTATTCTAAGTAGAATATTTTCTAACAAATTAGTACATTGCTTTATGGATAGTGCCTTTTGATGAATTATTCTAATAAACATATTTTTCTGAATCAAGGTGCACTTCCGGTAAGTATAAATTGTGCACACGAAGAGTGTTTTAGAAATTAATTGAAAGGATGACTCAAGGTATTTCTGCTATGTTATTCAAGAAAATATCCCACTAATTCCTTCCTACTATATAGAAATGATTTGGTAGTGAACGATCAAAAGTTCTGCCTTTGTAACCGGAAGTGGGTWGCTCCATGGAATCGCCCTGTCCATATATGGAATACAAGGCTATCTGTAAAGTTGTCATTAGCTTTGGTTGGATTTCGTACTTGACATGCCGACAGAAGAACCAAATATTCTTTCTTAGGGATTAGACGAACCTTTGAAAGAAACATGTTCAAGTTGTCCTGATATTTAAGTGATATATTATTCTCCATTTGATCCTCGGAAGTCACAAACCAAGCGAGTTTATTGTCAAACCAATATGGCGGAGCATCTCGAGTTGGTAGCTGAGATTCCGAAAGTTGAGAAACTCACTGTTCAAGAACGTCTTGAGTATGCCAAAAAAAGACGAAAGCAGCAACTTAGGAGATGGGAAAGGGAGAAGGATTCTGATTATGGTCCACCACCAAGAAAGAAGAAATTAACAAGTAAACCCGTGACGTTTCAACCTCAATTTATGCTTCTTGACGCTTCTACAAGAGGAGATGTTGATGAAGGTAGGGCTCTATCTTCAACATTAATCAACAAATTATTCGTTGATGACTTGTTTTATTAACTACATTACTATTAGCTCTAAATATCTATTTGTGTATTTGAATATTACCAGTGAAAAAGATGCTTGAAAACGGTGTCGACCCCAATATAAGTAATGATGATGGTTTGACAGCCTTGCATCAAGTAAGTTGTAATAGTTTTCGTCAAATCTGAATTATTTCAATGTTTTCTTTGACGTCTTTAGAAAATCTAGATCTAATAACATAGCTTAGAGTTTTAATACAGATGATATTTCAAGACAAACACAACAGCCTGGTAAATTGACCATCCTAGTGTGGTCAAATGATGAGTGTTGACGTAATAAGTTTTCAAAAGTGTCTATGAGTAGATTGCRTTTAGTTTAATAGCTCAAAATCACGTCCAAAGGTTCTAGAAATATCAAAATTTATTCTAAAGCAAAAAGGAGAGTAGTGGACACTAACATAGCGGTATAGTTTTGCCCAAGGGGACCTATTAAAATAATTAACACTTTAAGAAGTAAAACCAAACAAACTGTTTTCTGTTATTAAAACAAACAGGTTTTTTATTTCAAGTTTAAAGTTTGACAAATAAAACGTCAAATTTGCTGACTTGCTCAGGTTTCCAATGCTTTAGAATATTAATTATGTATCCATTATTTGTATACACATGTGTTGCTATATCAATGGTTTACGATATATGTACTCTTAACGCTTTACTCTTCGAAAATCTTGCTGTGACCACATGTCACATCAATCACAAATGCAYCCAAGTCAAATTCTAGTGTAATTTTCTTCCCTTTTGGTTTAGACCATTGTGTTTCTAWAGTATCAGCATTCTTTCTGACCCTGAAATGATTTTTTATTGGTTGAGGTTTTACACTGACACTGAAAGGGCTTCCTTGCAGTGCAAATTTTTTTTTTTTGGCATTTAAAACATTTATTGGCATAAAAACAGTGTGCTTAGCATTAAAAAAAACGGATATCTCGTGTCCATGAAAGAGTATTTTCTTGGTATGATGATCACTTTAACATAGTTTTCCAAATATTTTAGGCGTGCATTGATGGCTGCGAAGAGATCATCGACATTTTGTTAGAAAATGGAGCTCAATTAGATAGTGTTGACAGAGAATTATGGACTCCACTTCATGCTGCTGCAGCCTGCGGTAATGATGATATTGTGGAATATCTTTTGGATCAGGGTTCAAATATTGTAGCAATAAATGCTGATGGAAACATGGCAATTGATTTGGTTGATGACGAAAATGAAGAACTAAGAGAGATTTTACAAGCTGAGATGGAGGAACAAGGTATTTACTTGTAATATATAGACGTTCATTTTTTAAAGGTTATGCTTGTTTTATGGAATTAATTATCACCATTCAATTAACATATCAATCAATCAATCCATCAATCAAATCTATCCAAACATTCATCTATCCACCAACGGTTTAAAGAACATAGCAACAGTTTGATCAATTTAACTGAGAAACAGAGATTCCTTCACTTCACACTATTTTGCATTCTTAGGATTCACCGAAGAAAAACTGAATGAATTAAAAGATCAGATGGAACAAGTAATGCTGTCAGAGTTAAAGATGAAAGTTGAAGAAAATGAAGACTTTGATTTGGATATGCTCAATGAACAGGGAGCAACAATGGTGGGTAGACCTACAAACATTGTAGTMACAGTCTCTTAATTATATTAATGTGATATCATTCCTTCGATTCCCATTTGAAATGCAGTCTGGTATTTGTTATTATTAAATCACTTAGAACAAACAATATTTCAAAAGAAAGTGATCCAATGCATCCATAATTTTGTTATTCATTAAATGTATTTTAATTAAAGGCCCACATTGCAGCAGCCAATGGATATGAAGAGGTACTGGAGTTTCTTTTAGAACAAGGAGCCTCCATTGATATTGCTGATAAAGATGGTTGGCAGCCTATTCATGGAGCTGCTGTCTGGGGAAATGTAAGTCTTCATTCAAGATGCCTAGCTACCCTTTATAAGTGATGCTCAGACTAATGTGTAATCTGTTTTATGCAGGAAGTTACAGTTGAAATGCTTGTTGAAAATGGTGCTGATTTAGATGCTAAGACAAATACAGGAGACACACCTCTCAGTAAGTTATTTTGACCATTCACAGCACACTAATACAKGATTGACAACTACACTGGGTTCATTTACACTTGACTAACATTGATAAATTTGATGCTTGATTRAAATCTTTGTCAAGAATATATTCTTGCTAGAGTGTACATGTATGAATCTTGTAGAGGCTTAATGCTAGCAAACAAAATCTATCCACAGCACTTTGCGAGGATCCTGAACTACAGCAGTTTCTTGTTGATCTGAAGAAAAAAGTGAAAACAAATAAAGCTAAATCATCAAAGAGAAAACGCAGTAATTCACGATCGTAAGTACCAGAAACYTAGTCAGGAAACATTTAATTATCAGGAAGTGTTCTGAATCATTCTTCAACAATGAGGATGTCCAGGGGGTTTCTCTGAGTAAAGCCAATATATTTTTATACTAGTTTACCACTAGTTTCCATGGTTTCAACTTATTTTTATGACTTTTTTCAGGTTATCAGTCAAAAGAACTAGTCTTAAAGACAAGATTATTATTTCCCAAAATGAAGCCAAAGCTGAAGCTATTTTGCGTGTTCATCCACAGTTAGCATTCCTTTTGCCAGTAAGTAGCTACTTTGACTCATGAAGTTGGAAAACCATTGTTCCTGGAATATCACCCTCACATCAATRGAACTGAAGCAAACCAGGACCACYACAAACTAATTAACTGTTCTGATTTTCTTGCAGAAAAATTCTGAATTGAAAAATAGTGAAACAAAACCTATGGAAACAACTCCAGCAGCAACWGAAGCACAACCAACACAAAACTCWACCACCACAAACACAAGAGAACCAAACCCTAATACCACAACAGAACAAAAATCTGTCAGCARCACTTCAAGTCTAAAGAGAGAAAAACAGAAAGAAAATATTGATCCTGAAGAGAAAATCAATGCTGTTATTTCTACTCGAGTAAAAAACAAAGACATTGTTGACCCTTCAACAAGTAATAGTGAGGTAAAAACAMAGGAAACCACACACATTGATGAGAAAAAATCGACCTTTAAAATCACTATTAAAACTCGTAAAACAAGCATGGATGAGAAGCCAGCCATGGAAGCAAAACCAGATGTTACTATGGGAACCAAAGATGCAGTAACAAACCATAAACTACCATATGATAAACATGCTGACCACCAATCACGACACCAGGAATCCAAACCYGATGTTACCATGGGAACACAGCATGTCCATGACAACCATATGCCTATTGAACCTCAACAACAACACAAGCAACCTAGGCCTGATGTCACCATGGTAACCAAGCCCTCMACTTTGCCTCGTGATGCTTCAAGTTTTAAATCAGAGTTGACCAGTCATAACAGTAACCTTGCAATGCGGTCCTCTAGTGATGCCAATCTAGCAGCAGCAAGAACAAAYAGAACGCCGGGACACAAAACATCTGGGACTTTTTCTTCATYGTCYGGAGAGCCAACCAACTCGAGCCTTGGCAACCTATCCGGTTCAAAGGATGGTGATCTGGGTAAACCSCCTAAGTCCACTAAGACACGCCATGCCCCAGCCCCTCCYCCMATCRCAAAGTCTTCAGGGAGTCTAAGCCGAAGTCACGAACCAGCTGATACTTCTGGCTACCCTGACTCGTTCAGCAAGAGATCTCGTAGTTCAAGAGAAAATATTCTCGATGTGGTTGCTACAGGACGCCTCGGTATGTAATCTTGACTCCCCCAACTAACGAGAAATGATGGATTACCCAAAAACGATACAACATTCTTGCGCAACACAACATTATGTTGTTTGGGCACCTTTTTTGATAATTTTGGATGTTGTTGGACAGAGCATCGGTCGTACAAAGTCTGTAAAACACCATCCAACATTTCAGTTTTCAATGCTTGATGTGATCTTTCAAGGCGTTCCTGGAGGAAGGGGGGACATTGTTTGGTAATCGAACATTTCTCGTTTTACCAGGACCCTTGATGTTGATATAGAAGACGTTATATGATGTAAATAACATAGCTGTGATTATATCATACATTGATAATAACGTCTTTTTATSTTGTTTAGCATCGCCTACTCACAAGACAGTCACACCAAATGATGTTCAACTAGAGCCTGACCCACCCAACAAACAGATAAACGATCCACAACCCAAAAAACCAAGCCAACTACAAAACAATAAATCAAACCAAACGATAAACAACTCAACAAAACCCAACCAACCACAACCCACACAAGAAAAGAACAATTCAGCGCAAGTCCCTCTCAGGCAAAAGAAAGGTAAACAGCAGGAACAACCTCGAGAGAGTTACAGGAGAAGAAGTAGTAGTGAAAATATYGCGTCTGTTACAAACATTCATGTCAAAGATGACGAAGAACAAGAGAAGAAAACGTGTTGTGTGTTGATGTGATTTTCCACCTTCATGATAAGGTGTTTTAGTAGATTACTATTTTGAAGTGCAGAATAAAATGCTACAATATTTCTTGTACATACCGTTTACARGACGATTCTTATAGTAAAGTTTCGAGTAAAAATTTCATTTTCTATAGGGTTAGGGAAATCATTTTCTAATAAAATTGATGGAATTTTTGCTGAGTTTGTTCGATATTATTCTTTATGAAKAAAGTCTATATAAAAARTCCCAGCTCCGTTTTTGCGCATTTAAGAGTAGCGCGACATAATGATGGTAGACAAAGCGCGGTGATATATGCACATTGGTACTTTGCACTATAGTGCATTTACTGTAATATTAGAACAACACTAATATAGTTAATATAGTTTAATGCACATTCAATTCAATCAAATAAGWTTTTCGCATATATATCAGTCGAGGGCGTGTCCACTATAGGAAAAATGCGAATGATCACAAGAAACTAMGCTAAAGCAAAATGATTTCATGATGATGCTATAATCACTGGACAACAACTGCATTTGAAGAAGCGCAGCATAGATATGTTTATTACTAACTTTGCAGTTGTACAAAGTTGATAAGTCATAATGTCTTCGGTGGTAATCAAACCTATAGCAACCACAGAAAAGTTGCTTTGATACAGTCAAATTACAGAGTTTTTCTCTCTTACATGGCCGATGATCAGTTTGTAGCGTGAGTGTACTTTAGCAACAGTTGCTAAGCTACCTCCTAACCAATCGAATCACTGGGATATTTCTTGCATGATGTTTGTCATRAGGCTTCTAAAATACTAGCAAGCCAAGTGCATTGAGGTACGTTCAACTTTCGAAAAAAATTCTACTTGAACGCGCGTGCATAGACTAGAACGTACTAGAGTCATAGTACTCGAAGAGTCATAGTCTATGGAATCGATTTCACGTGTGTACTGCGTCCAATCTTACACTGTTGACTCTTTGCAAAACGGCAGGGCCAGGGCCAACTCTTCTCTTATTTCCAAATCAACTTCATCTTTTTCATCTTCACTTTTGGAGAAACAGCAGAAGGATTTCGACGATCTCTTGTTGCCAACAAAGAATATCAACAGCAACGAGATTACAGTTAAGGCTCCCATCAACGTAAATGGTAACACATAATTCTGTGACATGTCAAACAACAGTCCTGCTAGAAGAGGCCCAAGGGTTTTAGGGACTGAGAGGAGACAGTAGGCCACGCCCAGGGCGAAGGCAAAATATTTACCACCAACAATATCTCGAGTAATGACCATAAATACCATGATGTATACACCTTCACATATTCCAAACACCGCAGCATACACAGCCACCCACACAAACTCAGGAGCGAACGCCACTAGTATAGTAGACACGGCAATGCAAAGCAGAGCACTTTGAATGATTCGCAGACGGTTACAGCATGGAAGGTCAGCTATACGACCACATAGSGTACGACCAACAAAAGAACCACCAGCCAGTATGCTTATAAGTAATGATGCTGTAACTTTACTTGCACCAACATCTTCACCGAGACGAACCTGAAAAACAATATTGATGTCAGTTTTTCCTTTCTATCCAACTGTCGTATTAGATATGGAAAGTTAGGGTTCGTCAATTCAAATCGTTCGGTATCAAAAGAAAAACGTAAAAATGGAAAAGTTCGTGACTAACACGAGATGCATGATTTATATGTGGGAAATAGTGTTAGTTTTAAATTGCAATTTGATTGACAAGTCTATTTAATGATAAGTAATTTACCAAATGAATATAAGGAACCATGTAATTCAGCTGGAAGAGAAACACTGCAACAAGCCATACAATGAAACTACGATTCTTRAACACTTCGGTCCCAAGCCATTTGGAWTTTTCCTGTGTCTCCTCGGCCTCATGCTGAGTTTCCTTGAATGGACGGTACAGTAAGACTGGTACAAACAAGATCACATGGCAACCAGCAAGAATACGAAGACCATGACTAAGTCCCAGACCAGTAAACAACTTCTGCATCACGGGAGAAAAGATGAATGTACCAACTGATGCTCCGGATGTGGAGATGCCGTTGGCTGTGGAGATCCTCTTTTTGAAGTATTTTGACATCATAACTAAATTTGGATAGTAGAGCAGGCTAGTTCCCAATCCTCCACAGACGCCATAAGAAAAGTAAAGGATTTTGACGTTTGTTGCAAAGGATGACATCACGAGAGAGAAAGCAGCGATGACTGTTCCCATACATACTGTCTTACGTGCGCCATACCGGTTACAGCAGAATGTACTTAATGGTGCAAAAAGGTAGATACATGACGCTGGGAGTGAAGTTACCCAGGCTGMGAAAACAACAATAAAATGTACATATACATCCTAATAACACTACATAAGTACCTTGGATAATACGAGTCAATGTTGGCTCCCTGAGGGGATCTTGTTTACGATCCCACTTTCAAATTCAACCCCCCTCCCCTTCCTACCAAAATCATAAAAAAATTCAAGCAAGCTTGAAGTTAGCTGCATTTGCTTCAATTTATCAATCAATTTCTCAGCGCGTTCAAGTCACCAGTGATAATCAGAGAAGACCAGAAGCCAAAATGGTGTAGACAACAAAGCCAACAAAGATGACAGTTTCTTCTGATTATTCAGGACATGTTTTGCATATCAACTGGTTAGTTAGTCAGCCTCAAAATACGACTAGAATAAAAGAGAAAGAGGGATTAATAAGATGCCGAAAATGAAATGAGTGACAAAGAATTCGAAAGAATTTGCTTCGGYTTTATAAATCAGATGACATTATCTTTGCAAAGCTGACCTACAATACACTAACTGACATCAAATCACTGATCATTAATGTAGTTCAAATCACCCGGAAACTGTAACGCCGCCGAACATCTGAAGATTTTTTTTGGCGAGGTAAACTCACGAATTGCAGTACTAATAAAACAACACATTAAGTGATGACAAAATCCCTTCATTACCATTATACAAAAGYATTACCTGCTTCACTTCGAGGAATATTAAAATTATCAACCAGAGCTGACAATACTACCCCTCCACAGTTCAAGTAACCAGCAGCCACAAAATTGATGAGAAACGACCCAATACAAACACACCAGGCCCATCCACCATCTTGTTTCATCTCGATGGCCATTTTGCTCCTATTCCATGCAGTATTGAAGTCCAGATAAAAATGATACCACTGTGCTGTCTAATATACTGTGTGGTGACGTCASTTTTTGCACGTGATCAACGCATGATGGTCGATATCTTGTTGTAAACAATGCTCAGATAACAAACACCAATTTCCAGTCTCATCTCACGAGGACACGCGTGATAAGCAGGATTCTTACATAAAGTTGATCGGTACTGAAATTTTTGTCAGTGATTGCCTCAAAAAATTGCCAAAATTGCCATTTTTCTCTATCCAGAGAGTGCAGAGAAATCACGAAAATGTGCGTCAATCATGTAGAGGGTCTGATTTTTTACGATCGTGCAAAGGACGAATATATATGCACGAAAAAATTAGTTCAGCTTGAATASCACACGTGATTTCCATGCACTGTTATCAAGTCATGCATTAATCATTGTGAATCACTTTCACTTCAAAATAAAAATAGCTTTAGTGCTTTGTTGAACTGATATTCTTACACAATGGATGTAAAAAAGGAGATGAAATCATCAGAAAAAAAATTATCAGTGCTGTCAGTGCAAGATGCAGTTTGTAAAAGATTTGCTTGAAAAATAWAAACGTTGCTGTAGATTGATATTAGAGCCTCCAGAAATGCCATGAAAATTTAATTATCTACACGCGGCTTCAGCACCATCGTTAACTCCAACAGTCACAGCACGAACCATACTTCAGTTGATCTCTAATCCCAGTGCCAAAAAATCTGGTATTGTAAGCATGTATAGACATATCACTAAACAGTTGGAAAAGTCTATTTATTACGTTGGCATAATAGATAAAGCGTGAAAAACTTTCGTTAGAACATAGGTCATATATATATTCTAATACATATATTCTAAGTAAACACGAATTAAAAATATATGATATGATTAGGTACACGTGACTTGTTTACGCATGATTTGACTGACAGTTCAGTCACGCACATAAACTTGGAATATTTCGAAGCTGTTTTTCGTTGAAATTTTGATAAAATAAGTTATATTACGAAAAAARCCTCTCGCATAGTAGTACAACAACCAGAGAAATCAAACAACAGCAGAGCTGTATAGGTGAAACTAAAGAATATAGAATTAAAAAAATTTAAACATCTTCACAGCCAAGTGAAATTGCACAAAAATTCTTTTATTTCGACGTGATATGTTTTCGGCCGGAATTATTTAAGTCGGGATGCCATGACATATGACTAGCACGCCATAACAAGTTCCTTTTCAACAGCGCATGCGCTCTGAAAACAGCGTGTCCACCGCGTGATCGTAAACTGTGCCAAACGCGGCACTATTTAAAGGATACTTCCTTCCATTAATCCCTCCACGTGACTTCAACATCATCAGTACGAAACCTAGAATACAGCAAAMAGCATGAAAACAACCATCTACTCATGAATCRCTTTACTCAGAAGTTAGTAGAGACAGTCACCCTCTCAACTAACTATATTTAKAACTASTTTTATTTTCCCGTAAAGACGATGMGGGCACATGTATATTGGTCTTTACTATGGCCATAGTTAATAGAGGGGCCATGCTTATTGCTTTTCTTGGAGAAATCCCAATTTGAAATGAAAGGTTAAAATACTAAACATTTTAAGCATGTTCCTTTGAAGATAAGCCAAGAAAATTCACTGCAACAGATAGTTCTAGAATCATTAGATACGGCTTTGATTTGACTTCACGATAAATTCCGGTTTTCTTTAATTCTAAATAAAAAAACTGTCACTCCAGGACCACTGTCTGATCTTTGTTCTCCGACYATTTGATATTTCCTTTGTCTCATTTCTTGATCACTATCGTTATCGTAAAATCATCCCTTAAAACAGTTCCTCTCTATCATACAATCATACATTCCTCAGAAACTACTACACAAGGGTGGATGTGGGGGGGTGGGGGAGGGGTGTTGGTTACACACCTTTGAGTGCATGTTGTTTCATGAAAGGGAGTAATGGCACCTGTTCTAAACATTTCCCATCCAGCCTGAGCTATCATGGCTCCATTATCAATACAAAACCTGAGAGAACAACAAACTTTGTATTACATTGGGCTTAATAGGGAATCTGAATGAATGATTGAAAGAAATGGATGGACAAATAAAAAAAAATGAATGAGCAAATAACTGAATGAGAAAAGTAGAAAAAAAGTAATGATTGTTATATATCCATTATTGGAATGTTTTTGTTTGAGCGGTACCTCATATCAGTGGCATACAGCTTTGCACCTCTCTCTTCTGTCATGACACCTTAAACAAAGAACAAGAATGAATTATAGATGTGTGAAGCCTGCTTCATTCTAATAGCTGTTTATTCTACATACCCATCATTTCTTGCAGTCTCTTGTTGCCTGGTAGACAAAGTGAATTCAATACAAATCAGTCAAGATAGTATTACATTAATATCAAGATAATCTTACATCCAACACCGCCAACAATCAAGACTTCATTTGATCCACAATGTGCCATAGCTCTTTCTGCAAACAATACAAAACACGCATTAGTAGAAAACCTAAGTTTAGAAAAAAGTCAATCAAAAATAGGAAAAATCCATTTATATACCTGTSGTTTCTACCAACATTGCAAACAATGTTTCCTACAAAAGAGTGAAGATATAATTATTTTGGCAAATGAGAAGTTGTCAATGTACATGCAATTCCTTCTTAGTTTTATCATTGTTGTCTTATATAGTCAGCTTTCCTTTTGTCAGGCCTCCTATCTTTCATTTCATTTTACATCTTTAGTCCCCCAGGGGGTGTACTCCYCTATATTCGCTATACGGGGACGTGCCGCCAACGAGGGTATCGTTTTCAGCGATTTTACTGTGGAACAGGCTATCGTTTTCAGCGATTATACTCTGGAACAGGGTTTAGTTTTCAGCGATTTCACTCTGGAACAGGGTCAGGGTTTTGAGGTCCCAGTGGCACACCCCCATGCAAATTTGGAGGGAGYCCCCCCCCCCTGAATTCTAAACCTAAGCCCTTGAACACCACATCTCACTCTCACATCTTACAAAGCATTGCTAACCTGTAGTGAAAAGCATAGATCTTCTGGTGTGCATTCACCAGACTTGATGAGACTTGGTCCAACGCTCTTAAAAAGATTCAATTATATAACAACTGTCTTCATCATTGCCTGTCTTCAATAAGTTTGAAAAATTCTAATCAGTTTTAGAAGATTCACCTCAATGTATGACAATATACCAGAGAATGACACATCCATTCCTTTAACTGTATAGGGTAGCTCTATCAATTTTTTTCCTCTAAACAAGAGCAAGAGAAATGCAAGAGAAATCATGACTTTTATATTTCTTGTGCAAACCGGCAGATAAAAAACTCACTTCTTTGCCATCTGTTCAATGTTATATCCAGGACTTGGGTCATTAGACAACTAAAAACAATAATTCAATCAGTATTTAGGTGCAGAAATAATACATTTGTTTTGCAAGGCTTACCTTTAAGACTCTAGCAAACCTATCCAAACAGTTCCCTACAGCTATATCAATGGTTTCTCCAAATATTCTGTACCTCTTTTGTAAGTATGAAATAACTTGAGTATTTCCTCCACTAACATATAACACTGTAGGATTATCTGCACCTGTAATCAAACGTCCCATTTCAATATGCCCTATACAGTGATTTACACCTATGATAGGCTTATTCCATAGCTGGGCTACAGTTCTTGCTACAACTGCTACTGATACTAGTGGTGCTCCCATTCCTGGTCCTACAAGCACAACAATAGTATCATTAATGGGAAAACTTCATCAGACCCTAATATGAACATAATCTGAATGTCCTGTATGTGCCTACAGCTTCAAAGTTTACTCAACTGCACTGAGCCTCAATACAAGTATGGACATACTCCTTAATGTAGACTCATACCCATACTCCAGTTTCAAATTCTCTTTTGTGCAACCTTAGCTTTAATCAAGCATAAATTTTTATTGTCTTCTTTGTACACAAAGTGTTTGCAATACAATAGATTCTATGTTGAATAATGTTGAAAATATTATAAGCTTTCGAGGTTTAGGCTGCACAAATAAGATCTTGAAACTGGAGTATTGCATGTCAGGTATGTAAGTGTATGCTGTATGTGGAAGTGAGAGATGATTGTCTATGATGGATATTTGACATACCCTTTGTGTAACACACACAATCAATGTCTTTAGGCTCARTATTAGCTTCATTCAGTGCCCTGGGTATGAAGAATAATAATTCTCAGTAATACCTAACTAAAACCAGTACCTATAATAATAATATTAATAGAAAGTCATATGTCAAAATATTCAAAACATGTGTCTTTTACTTACTTTCTTAATATAGATAAGACGTTTTCCCTGTGGTGTTTTGCTGTATCACTAGGCATAAATCCTGAAATCCAAAGATCAAATCCAAATAAAAGCATTATAACGCACACCCAGTAATTGCTTAGTGTGAGAGTCAGTTAGAACAAGGTTTACCTTGTCCTGGCGGTGTGATGTACGTACAACGAGGATTTGACAATACAACTCCATCTTTAACTATCCCTATACCAAGTTTGTTAGCGCTTCCTTCAAACCCAATAACAGTTGGCATCTTTTGAATTATAGATGTGTTCGGATATGGACTTCTTCACTCAGACGTAACTTGCAGCTAATTACAGGATTCGATCCCGATCCTGATTGGTCGAGAGACAATAGAAACGACAACCGAGCCGAGTAGCCGAACAAATTGGACTCGGACTATTCGGACAACCATCGTTAAAAGGTCGCCGAATTGAAGAAAGTACTCGTGTTGTCGGTACTCGTACTTGTGGAAGTCATAAGCTTATATCTTTAGTAAGAAGCTATGAATGTCGTAAACGAATTGTTATTCCATTTCAATAGCTGTAAGATTATTACGCGACAATTGTTTTACCTAAGGTACTAAAGTAAGTTGAGAAATTTACCACTGAAAGTGATATTAACGGGATCGATTCCTGTATCAGATAATAAGTTATAGTAAGCTGAAGTTATTGCCTTTTTTGGGATCGATTCCTGTAAATTGTACAAACAATGCAACGTACTTGTACATCAAATCCTCAACTTTATGGACTTCACTAAACTCGTACACTATTATTTAACACATGTAAACGCGTAATAAAGTGATCAGTTTATATTACAAACTCTTTAGTTATTAAGCTTAATATTATTTTGTGTTCATAATTTATCAAATTAACTTACATATTTTTAATACCAAGCACATTTCCTCAAGGAGGAGGCAACTAAACAGGATTTTGAGATAAAAACAACAGCAAAACATAATAGTAAGGTATATAATAATTCCTGATAGCACTAGTATTTCACTCAGACTATTATGCCAAGCATCATCAATACTTTGTGGGTGTATGAGGCCACTAGATGCTGGACACAAAAGTCCTGACCCTATCCAAGACCAAAAAGATTTTGAGTATTTATCCCACCATGTACCCCAGACGGTAACCCAGACGGTAACCCAGACGGTACCCCAGACCCTAACTGCCAAAATCAACAACTTTAATAACAGTATTACATAAGACTACCTATGCATATATGTGCATTGACTTTCAACACACTAAAAGGTACTGCATGCTTAATCTGTGAGATGGCTGATGTGCTGAAGGAATCAACAACACCTTACCCATACTCACCACATCAACTTGCAAACATAATACCATGTAAGTTCAGATTTAAATAAGCTTACGATCTATGTAATCTACATACATATAAAGGAAGTCAGTATGGAATGGGTTAATATGTACGAGCTGAATTTAAAACTGAGTGCTTTTTAAAAAATAGCAGCCCCCTTCAAGCAAAGATGAAAAATAAGCACCATTTCCCCCTGCACATTTCTTAATGTGGAACGTATTTAAGTAATTGCAATTAAATTGCTTAATTACAGAATAGTGTCAATTCGTTGTTCTTTTCTACTGGGGTTTTCTACAATAACATTGAAGAATTGCCCTTTTCTTGATCATGTACTATATGTGATTCTCAAATTGGCATGGATATATGATATGGCAAACACTAGATTATAATTTATTTTTCTTGAAGCACTGGGAAACTTTTCAAGAGGTCATCATGATCAAGAGGTTGCGATGCTCATGAACTATTTNCATATGTCAAAATATTCAAAACATGTGTCTTTTACTTACTTTCTTAATATAGATAAGACGTTTTCCCTGTGGTGTTTTGCTGTATCACTAGGCATAAATCCTGAAATCCAAAGATCAAATCCAAATAAAAGCATTATAACGCACACCCAGTAATTGCTTAGTGTGAGAGTCAGTTAGAACAAGGTTTACCTTGGCCTGGCGGTGTGATGTACGTACAACGAGGATTTGACAATACAACTCCATCTTTAACTATCCCTATACCAAGTTTGTTAGCACTTCCTTCAAACCCAATAACAGTTGGCATCTTTTGAATTATAGATGTGTTCGGATATGGACTTCTTCACTCAGACGTACGGTAGTGTATTTTCTACAAGGCGTTACTCGTAATGGTCGAGTGGGACACGTTTCCAGTTTGTGTGTGCGGGATACCTTTGTYACAATTGTTTCCCCGTTGTTAGTTTTGTTCTTTCGCTCCGGTGCTCAATAAGATCTTAGGTCTATGATGCTCTAGAATCTGATTGGTTGTTTAAATCCATTGGGAGATGACATAATATATTATCATAACAATAGAACTTCACCGAATAGACTACCCCCATTWGATATTAGATATTTAACAGTGACTTCATAGTACGATGGTCTAAGAGGGTAGCTAMAGGTATGCTCTAGTGGGCGGCTACCCCCTCACTCCCTGGCCTTTTGGTTAAGACTAAGTTTTATGTGCACTCTGGATAGCGTGGAAGAGCCGAAATCTCTAACCGTAACGTAAGCCGATTCGACGCCTCAGCTTCATAGAATGTCTCGGGGGAATCGTCCCATCTTTTTCRTTTTATTTCATTTTTTGTTATCGTATCCGGGGGGTGCAGTACAAGGAATGAAAGTTCAGTCCTCACAAGGACTACCTTTTCTTTTTCTTATTCTTACTTAACTCATTAATTACCTGGAATCTTTTTTTTTGCACTTCAGTCCTTTCGTTTTTCCATAACTAACTATTTCTCCAATAAAAATATATTTTATTGATAATTTGATTTTATTTAATAGTCAAAAATTTACTAATTATATGCATACATTTATGATAGTGATATTTTTCTCGAATCACCATTGCTATATTGCAAATATATTTTACTTTACAACATGGAYAAGTTCCACATATTGATGAACAAATTAACGGTATCGATTCATAAAGGAAAAGATATCGAGATAGAGTCATRATCCAAAGGTGAGATTTGTGTGCTCGTCGTTTCATAATAACAGGTAATCTGTGTAGTATCCTAATATACTTTGTGAATCAACAAACTGTTGATGTAGAACGGTAACAGGTCAGCATTAGTGACATCATAAGTTGAGAGGTCACGTGATAAATGTCTGTTACACCTGCAATACAATAAAAAAAATAAATAAACAAACAAATAAATAAATTAAAGGCTTACTTGTCTACTATTCTTTCAAGCAGTTCAAATGATTAAGACATTGCATCCTTGAGATATGCTATATATGGGTACTTGCTGTATAATCAGTTCAATGAAGTTTATCTGAGAGAGCCAGTTCATTCATTTACCATTTACAATTTTAGTCGAGTATTACWGTTGTTCTTCTCACTGTTTCCACAATAAATGAGTACGCGATGTACCCATGGACCGATAGTACGTATTTCTTGTTTTTTTCGTTAGTATGTGTACCGGAGAAGGGAAGAGTTGGGAAGATGGAGCTAGCGCTATATGAGCGTCGCATAATTTCCTACAAACCTCGGTTGCTAAGCAAGTGCTCTTTGACTTTGTTATCGACTTTTGTCCTCGAGAAGACTCCTTGGCATCAGTTCTTGTGTCCACCATGCTAATCGTTGTTTCTCCAAGACTTCGTCTTCGTTGTTTATCTTTTTCTTTTGTGTCATTCTTATGTGTAATTCTATCAATGAATGACCTTCGCTTATTACTATAGTCCTTGCTATTACGTCGTAATACAACACCACCTGCAACACACTCCTCACCAGGGATCGACGCCAGCTCACTTGTTTTGTCGGAATTTGATCGGTCGCGTAATGGTAACGCAAAATTTCGGAAAAAGTTTGTTGACTTCTTCTCCTCTTCGGGAGTCGGTGATTTACTAGTCTTATTTGATTTATCAGCTTGTGATTTATTGATTTCCTTGATYATTTTGTTGCTAGGTTCCTCTGCTGACTTCTTTCTTCGATGCCCTCGTGGGCTCACTTGTTGTTTRGRATGSGTCACMCGATTATCGGTRGAAGCAACTGCCMCYCTGCTCGAKGCGCCATCGTCTTCAGTCAGGTGAGAATTAGCGTCACAAAAACCACTGCTTGCCGATGARTCAGATAACTCCGACCCGATTAATGAGATTCGCTTGTCCGTGAGATTTGTAGTGGGAYTGGAACTAGCTCGTAATACGACATTAGTGGTGATAGTTGGTTGGTATGGCAAGGGCTCGTCATATCGTGTGCTTGGTATATGTAATGCCGGCTGACTCTCAACACTTATACCTGTCGAGGCCTCAGTCAGRCCATACTCTGTAAAAAATAAACATATGAATTCCAGCAGCACACACTGTATCGCTGTTATCACATCTCATCACTCAGTTACCTTTATTGCGCACTGCTTGTTTCCATAATATCTTAGTGATTTCCGTCAACCAAGCAGTCTTTACTTTCATATTAGAAGCCTAAAACAAACAAACCAATCAGCGATAGCCGGCCTTTTTCAGTCACTTAAATCACGTTATTACCTGAAGAATAAATTTCTCCCCAGTCTTTCTCTTTCGAAACCACAGCTCAAACTTATGTCCACCGTCGCCCACAGACTCGGTAAGACCAAGATCAGCGGTCTATACACAAACACAATGATCAGTAAAAGCAACAATGAATCAAAACTAACGAGAAACTTTCTTTTTAAAAAATCAACCTTTTAAAATCAAATCTTTCAAATCTTATTGGGTCACAGAGTGTCCGTATAAACTATAATCTAAATGTATTCACCTTCAAAGAGTTTTTGTAACAGAAAAGGTCCACGCCYCCTTGCTGTCTCTTTGCCTTACTAAACAAAACCAAGTCTTCAAACAAAAACACTCGTCGATGGTGCTTCTTCTTTCCTGACCAAACRATAAAATTGTCTTGACGTAGAAGTCTCCCCTGCTCCTTCACGTTCACCTGAAATAAATAACGCCGGATTGTTGCTCCTGATTCTCCTCTTGTCATAATGGGCAAAGTGGAAAAAAGGGTCTAGATATATAMAGAATCACCATATAAAAAGACAATGAGAGTCTTACATCACAATTTCGCAACGAGTCCATAGCCAATAAGTCGTTTCCGTGTCTCARCTGAAAGCGAACCATGTTTTCTGCTTCCTGYAAATGGCAAAACAGATTCAAAGAATGAAAATAGTAAAGTTAAAACAGTAGAAAGGTTTGATATTAACATACCTTAAGCTCGTTTACACGTGATCCATCTTTACAAGTGTCAATCATATCCTGATAAACCAATCAACATGTAAAGAAAATGACGTCAATTTTACTACTAATCGAGTGCATAACGAGTGCATAACACTAACATACCCTTAACAGYAGACCGTATTTACACATTCTTTGTACAGGCTTCATGAGATAGCTGCCAAGGTCCAACTTATCGCCTAGTTCTTTCTGACATGCCTACAAAAAAAAAAAAAACCATTAAACAATACAATAAACAAATGAACATAAAAAAATAAAGATAACAAAACGAAAAAACGATAAAACATACACCCATACAACACAAATACAAGAGATCTAAATACCCTAAAGTAGACATTTCCATGGTCTGATAAGAGTTGATCTGATCGAGGCTTGTTCTTGTTGTACAATGCATACAGGTAGAATTGACGTTCCTAAAATGATACATCACTATTAATATAAGCACTGAACACCAGGCCTAGTTTGGGTTACCTACCCATTTCAAGAAGCAACTTCCTATCTGTAATGGTCTGTCTTGAGATATTTCTAATTCATGTAGGAAACATCTGTAATTTGAAAATCAAGATATTTCTAACTTAACTTTAACTCAGAACTACAAGTTCCACTGTCTCATGAGCGGGCTTCCTGTGGCAGGTTAAGGTATTCTGTKCCTTACCGGTTATGAAAATCGTAGATTCTTTCAATATTTCCAAATAAAATATTCTTCTTTCCTTTCAGTGATGGCAGCAAGTTAGGATCCTCCATTCTTGATAAATAATTCTTGAAAACAGAAATCATTTCTATCACAAATTCAGTCCTTGTGGTGGGAATAATGGGGTGGTGTTGGGGATGGAGGAATCTGTGGGGAGGTGCAGTGGTTTACAAAAGTCTTGAGGGAGCGATTAAGGAAACGGTAGAGTGTGTTACCTGCATGATGTATTCTAGTGACCTGACGTAGTCTCGTTCAGTGTCAATCATTTCCTGTACAATATACTTCAATTTCCTRCAAAACATTACACGCGTTAGTYAYAACATCGTACTTTGTCAATCGACTTGCGCACAAAGMTGGAGCTGCTTTTCGTTCAAATTTTACTTACTCTTTTATTCGCGGAGAAAGATTTTGCTCACATTCTTCGATGCTTTCCAAAGGCTGTTGAACGAAAAATGCTAAATAAGTATGTTACGTCTGTGAGAAAACTTAAGCCAAGAGCGAGTTGGTTACAAATGCAGCGTGTTTCCCCTCACTCGTACCAGGAAAAATCAAATAAGAACGATAACACATGYCATGTGACTTGACAACACTCAATGTGAGTACGAAGTTGCTTAGCAACCAGCGACATACGTAACAGTGACGTGATCCTGTAACATATTAGTATCATTATTACAATTACGTAATGAATATAACGCATGCGTACTGGTGGGCTATCTGGCTGAAGACCGCTGACCTCTTTCCAAGTGTACAACTTTTCTGATGAGATCTTTCGTTCCGGCGAGATGAAAGCCTGCACCGCTTCCGGTATTGGGCTATCGATCTCGTCGTCTGTGTCTTCAGGTGCGGCGTCACTCTCTTCATCGCCATCTTGAGGAGTCGATGACGATTCATCGCTGCCCCCTGTGTTGGTACTAGATATTTCACAAGAGGGGTGACCCTGGGAATACAAAATATTGCYTTTAAAGAATAGCAAGTAGCAGAACGAGGACTGAATTTGGTTTTMATCAATTCAAATTATATATAGCTATAGCTGAGCGAACTATAAACTGCATACTGATGCTTAAATATCAAAAATTACCTTAAGTTTTTCCTCGGCTCTTCCCAAGGTCTCTTTTCTTTGTCCCAGCATATCTTCAACTTCTTTATACCGYGTTAAAACCCCTTCTGCCTGGCTGACCATGTTACTTTGACCTATATTGGTAGCAATCTCTGATATCCGATGTAATCGACTGGCCGGCCATACGGGATGTTTCTCCAGATAATCCTCTAGACTCTTAGTAAGAGCAAGTACCCCGTCTAATGTGAGGATCTCTTCCATCTTCATCAATGCTATTTGCTTTAATGTACTAATTGTCCATTCAGATATCTATCAAACAATATATGGATTATTGGCAGTACTCATTCATTATTATTATCTATGATAATACATGACAACGRAAGGTAACATCATCATTGTCATCACTGTCATCGTCAACGTACTTCATTCAGGAGCTGGTGGAATTCTCTGCCCAGGATGAGCAGTTTTCGTCTGTCTTCGTGTTTTTCAGAAATTCTTTTATACATGTCTTCTAGATATTTACAGCTCTCCTGAAGACCAATACTTTCAAAATGGCCTCCCTGGTACAATGAACGACCTTCTTCTAACAGGTTTTCTATTTTATCGTAGTATTGCTGCAAGCAAGAGTCAAGACACGTCGTTTTAATAACAAACTACATGGTAACAACTGATCGCGCTGTTAATGTATTTGTTGTTTCATGTGGTTGTCGACGGCGTTGTTGGCAAGCGTCTCACTGACAATGGTGTTGTTAGAAAGGGTATTGCCAGAAGTACATAACCAGAATGGTTATGTACTTCTGGTATTGCTGACAATGCTGTTGTTAGCAAGGGTGTTCTTGACAATGGTGTTGTCAGCAAGGGTATTGTTGACAATGCTGTTGTTAGCAAGAGTGTTGTTGACAATGGTGTTGTTAGCAAGGTATTGTTGACAATGGTGTTGTCAGCAAGGGTGTTGTTGACAATGATGTTGTTAGCAAGGGTGTTGTTGACAAGTTTTATTGTTGGCAAGAGTGTTTTTGAGAAGGTTGCTTATTGGCTAGAGTGTTGATAGCAATGCATAACATTCTGTATGARCGGCAATAGAGATTATATAAATGGTTACCTTTGCAGAATTATCAAAAGTTTTCAATTCCTCTTGCAAGGTCTCGACATGTCTTAACGAATCTCCGAGATCAGCCTCCTTATCCAAGAAAGGCTCAGCTTCGTTCTTGATCCACGTGGTGACCTAGAAACGAATACCATGAGTGAATAACCTACAATAGATCTATGCCTTCACCCTCCAATAAAGACAGAATAACGAGACTGAATGCGGGCAAACAAACAAGGACGGTTGGACGATGGACAAAGAACAAGGACTGATGAATAGTCAATAGAGAGATGGACGATGGGTAAATCAGTTACATCGACGAGTTACCTTATCAGATTCTGTTTCAAAATCTCTCAATTGTAARCACTGTTTAAGTCTTTTCGTTCTGTTATCAGTGAGCATCTCAAGTTTACAAAACACTTCGTTCATTTGGTTGTACAGCCTTGATACACACTGTACAGTCTCTTTATAGTCCTCTGTTTTGTTTAAGTTTGATTTCTCTTCTTCCAAACGAATTAAAAGTTGTTCTCCTTCTACTTGAAGTGCTGATAATCGACTGTCCAAAAACACCTCCTTAACCTTTTGTTCATGCTGCTCTAATAATGTTTTACATTCTTGTAAGTTTTCTCCTACTTTTGTACTTGTAAACTGATGCATGACTTCCATAGCAAGTTTAGCAGCACTACGACATCCAGTCATAAATGGTTCCAGTTTCTGAAACAGTAACATGCATTCAACCTTAATAATACACGTGGACAATTTYATRGAGTTACTGCTGTGCTACTTACAATTCTGAAGCGAATCCATTCATCATGGTCGTAGTGAAAAGTTCCATTGAATTCTGGTGTCAACTGTGATTCATCRATGTATTTCTTGAGATCTTGTACAGTAGTAATAATCTTGAACTAAAAAACATATTAACAGTTATRCATTCGACTGGCTGCACAAGGTACGCGATAAGCACATGTTACACACCAGCGAAAACACTTAGGTTATCATGGTTGGCTAATGAACGGTTTGCGCATGGCCAAAAACAGCCAACTACAGTATTTGCTTTAATAGTATTATCACAAAACGTTAGTCTTTTATGAAATAGACGAAAACACCAGCTACAGGTTAATGTCTGGATGACAAAATGTTTCGKCGAGACTATTGGGAAAGTACTTTACAAAAGGTTACTTTGGTATAAAATGATCTTTTTCCAGCTGCCTGTGTTAGTATCAGCAGTTAGTATCAAAACGTTGTTTTTATTAATCACTTTATAATCGACCATTACAATCGTGTTTAACTACCACTTAAAGAAGCTATATCGTAGCTATGCACCGTTAACAAAGTTCAAAGGCAATCTTAATTACGCTGTCAAGTTTAATATTGGACTTGAGATATTTTAAGAGCTAAAAAAAAAGAACTAATCCCAAAATCTCATATCGTCATAGAACATATTCAGGCTTGAAAAGGCTTAAGAGGAGTTAAGTAACTAGTTCTTAGAAAAGCTCGAGAACTCCGCATCGTAAAAACTCCCACCAATCAGCCGGCACCAATGCGGCCATTTACAATAATTGTCCTTATTAGGAAAACAAGCACGTACCTCGTTATCAATCTTTGAAATATTGTATTCTCTGAGAACCGATTTTCAGCTCGCACTTGAMGAAGTAGTCATATTTAAACAGTTATGAGAGCTTTTACGTGTTGTTTGACCATTCTTACAACAAGGAAATATTTTAATCAATATTCCCGAAAAATAATGCATGTTATAGTTACAAGTAAAAAACTTTTAAATTATAAATCTTATGTGGCAGAGTAGCAGAGCTCTACTGACTGTTCAGTGAAATTTAATTTGCTAATATAATTTGAAAAATCAATTTTTTTCAGTTTTTTCAAACATATAAAAACAACTTCAACACACTTGAACTGTCGTACTGAAAAAGTGTACGTCTGTAAAATTCTAGCAAAATCTAGAAGCCAGAATCTAGAGTAAGGTATTTCATACAATACCCATAACCACAAAGAGCGCACGAGTGAGCATGCTAGGTGAATCGTATAATCAATGCCAAAAAAGTCCATTGTAAATATGAAAGTCACACGAACACACTGTGAGAAAAGACCTTGCATAGCGAACCAGATCAAACAAACTACTATGATAATCGAGTACTTTAACTCAGTAAAGACTAACACCTCTATAATAACTGSAAATAAAGAGATTTTAAGACACTCACTACGTATTATAAGATAATTATATGAATATACCATTGAAATATAGCATCCATTTGAGAGATTACTAACCAAAGAACTGTACTACTCTATCACACTGATCAAAACTGATTCACTTACTTGAAACTCAAGTGAAACTCCTTTACACTTCACAAGTTGAGCAAAGAGCGGTGAATTCAAGACACCAGTTGTTAACTATGGCTTAAGTGACATAACGGACGAGCAAACTTAACGCTTGGCTGATAAATGTATATTAGTAGTATGATAGTCAACCTATCTTTTAATCTATCTATATTATGAGTAATATTCTCATTATAATGACAAACGATAGCTTGCTGTGTTGGATAACTAATGGTAACATTGTTTCAACTAAATCACAGTCATTCTAACACGATAGTTTTAATTGACACATAGTACTATCACTCTGAAGCTATTCAAAATAGAAGAGTCACAATACGAGCAATGAACTATCGTCTCATTCACCACACACTGTAACATCAGTTAGCAGGTTTTGATATTCGTGTTATTCTTCTGTTTCTATCAGTATTCTCGAATACAAAGGGATATAATAACAATTTCCGGTTACATGAAAAACATCCAGCACCATCCCGACATTAATATTCTAAAATACTAAAATGAAACTTCGAGTACGCGGGAAGACGTAAGCACTGTACATTGGCATCATAAATCTTCTAAATAACTACACAATCTTCGCAATAATTGTATAAAAAATGGTAAAACCCATGTCAGAAAGATAATAGGTGATAGTGAATAGTGAGTGAAGCCATAAGGGTCCTGTTATAGATAAAGGTCACATCTACCATATCGATAAAGTACCAACCTGTAATGATGCCCGATAAATAACGAAACATCAACAATAGTACTACAATTTCTAAGTTTGTTTTCAAATGAACCCATTACATTATGTTATGCCACTAAGACGTCCATGACGTCACAAGCCCCAGGCCATGTTCCAGATGCTTTCTTCCTTGATATAACCTTCTACTAAAAAAACTCGTGTCACGCACGAGACTAACAAATGCGCAAGCTCTTATTAAAGTATCACAGTCCCTGACATGAAAATTGTTTATAGCGCTGTCAAAGCATATTTTCTGCAATGGCACCACAAAAATTTCTCAGAGCGCACAACAGCAACACAGGGAACCCAATACTTACCTCGAAGTTTAGTTGTTCTTTTATCTTTGTTGTGTTAAACATTAGAATAGGTGAATCTTTTTTAGCCACAACATATACAATATGAATAGCCCCAGGGCAGCTTTCCTGAAATACAACACATTTAAAAATCAGGTTACTTTTGTTCCTCTCTATGAACCATGGGACGTCAATAGCTTCCGTTTCCATAGCTCATCCGCTGGCTTAACTATTGATCATGATCTATCAGTTTCGCCTTATCAATATAAACTGGCCACAGTTTGCGCGCAAGCTAATTAGTCAGTGAAACAGGGAAATTTTTAGTGTTTCAACACCTTGCAACAATTCATTTCTCTGACAAGGCCTCTATTTGCCCATCCAACAAATAGAGAGGTTTAGCATGACGTTCACGGCAAACGCCAAACGGCAGAAAAGATCACGTGTCACGGGAGACACGTGACCTCTATTGTGAGATGATGGGCGTGGCAGTGCTGAAATTTCAACCCTAAAAGGGACCAATCAATAACAGGTCATTTTGTTTTGGTTTACCGATTTTGTTTGTGTTTTTACACAATCATCGAACACYGTCGGCTCGTATTGAGTTTATGACGACGTTGCCATTTTATGACTGCTTAGGGTCGCCGTATACCCTAAAAGGGACCACAAAACACAGTTGGTAGGAATTCTTGTCATGATCACCCTAAGCSGGACCAAAATACTGATTTTAAACCCTAAAAGGGACGCCGAGGATCCCCGCCMTTKGATATTAGGGAGTCCCCCCACGTGTCCTGCTTTTTTTGAGTTTAACGTTGCAGTTTCAACGCGAGAGCGGGTTATTTTGAGGTTGCCAYAATCGTGAAAASCCRCTCTTTCAAATGACTACCAAAAGCACAAGGTCGGRTACGAAATTCTTAGGTCATTGGTTCAGCTCTGCCGTTAGCCGTTTGCCGTCAACGTGACGCTAAAACAAACTCTCTAATATCCAACCGCACTCCGCTGGATTGGAATGCAGGAGGACGGTGTTTATTCCATATGACTAGTATTATACATCACACTTGACTACTACGAAAGAGGATTTACATGATGCCCACATGTCTGCACCACCGACCATAGATGTTCGCAATCGAGCAATAAAAGGCGGAAAGTACTTGTTAATATCCCTTGTCCTTCTTAAGGGAAACTTGGAAAGGACAGGGGACAAAGGACAACTTGGAGAAAAGATGCAAACCAGGTACAGTACTTAAAGACCCATTAAAAGTCGGCCTTTGTACGAAATATATCASAATTTCGACTATTTATAGCATATCTAATGCTGGTAATAACGTCTCCCACTACGAAAACCAGCGGTAATCTTTTATCGCTCGTTCATCGCTCCCAGAAATAATATCCCTTGGTACGAAGTCTGTTAGACCTTGTTCCTGCATTTGAAGTCACCCACTGAGCTCCGTCGCTCGCAAGTCATGGCAAACTTTTTCGTTTTCTATAATTGCATATCGTTCGTATGGCTTTATTAAGGTAGAATTGTTCTTAAATTGCACTTCGGTWTRACAATTTCAACATAAAAGTGATTTTATGGACGGATTTGAACTCCTCGAAGATTACGACGTTTTTTAGACTTTGTGCCCAGGAGTATTATTTTTGGGAGAGTTGAATGAGCGAAATAATTAATTTTTCTCCRGGGTTCGCGAGAGTTACAGGGTCTGTACTACAGAATGATACAATATTGCACATATTGGACATTTCACTTTTACTCCGACGAAGGATTATTAACGTCAGAAACGTCAGTAAGTTATTTCACATACTTTTTTACGGTGTTAAATTTATCTTTTTACATAACTGTTTCTTTAGAAACACCGACGCAGCTCGCACTAGTTTACCGCTAGTTCCCACCACATATAGGACATTGCCTTTTTACCGTGCAAGACTGAAAGTGGAGCGATTATGTTTAAACTGTGAATGTTTAAAGGTCACGCTGTCACATCGCATAGTTAGAATACTCATAACGAACCCTTGGACAAACAAAATAATTGATTTTGGTGTTTACAAATAAATGAAGTACAGAAAATTGGYGAGACGTTAAAATCTSGCGTTAATAACCAGTGGTTTTCTTTAAGAGRACATGTGGGTTTATCATAGACGTAYAACGTAATTCCGTTAGGTCGTATARGACTAGGGCTTTGGAAGACAATCASAATACACATAATGWATAATTAYAATACAATAAATAAACTAAAATAATATAGASACGAGTAGAATTATTTACATGAAAAAGAAGAACTTTAATATCAGTAAAGACATATTTTGTTGGTTTCCGTTCTCCGAGTTCACCCATCAGCACTAATATGATAAGCACGCACAACCTTTACCTGATTACCCATTGAATTATTATTAAGAAACCTTTCTGTTTTATAATATATTGTACATAATAATGTACAATTTACGAATATAAGGTGTCGAACATATAAACAAACAATTGTAATAAGCTTTACCTGAAAGCAAATCATGGCTTCAATAATATCCTCAAGTAAACGTCTCTTTGTTGAAGTCTTCCTGGAGTCAAGAATCACGCTAAATCCCTTGTAAGGCTCTTGTTTTCTRAAGAAATATAGCGGTACATAAGAAAAGAACGAGTTATGAGACACTGTAAGCTTTCTGTCATTTGATACCCTGGGAAGACTCGTCATATCTCGCTAAAAGGGTTGGTCCTATACACACATCCGGTGAACTGTCAAGCGACCCAAGCGAGTACAGACAGTTTTATTTGTCTTTATACAAAACATAACATGGGCAGGTAAATATGAAATGTAGCCATATAACGACTTCAAGTAGACTTGAAGATGACAACAGGTTATGTTACTCTTTATAAGAACAAAAGATTATCAGCTTAGTGTCCAGATGATACCAGTCACGATGATGATGATGACATGACTGAACCAAATCACTTTATTACATAATCACACTCAGTAGGTCCACAKAGAAACCCATGTAGTTGCACAATATCCATATASCCACACTCACTTCACACCTGATTATTCCTTCTAATTAAAATAATTCAATTAGCAGCCATTTCTATGGTTGACTCTAGATTTATTGTCCGAAGAATCAATGCTAATTGCACTAAAACCAAAAACAAACAAAAAATCTTTAACATGATTTTTTTTACTCTTGACATATGAGTCTCGACTCTCGACCTGGGACTCTCGACTCTCAACCAAAACCGAAACTCACTCCAGTGTCCACATAAAATTAAACCGAAACAAAGAAATTTACTACGAATTCGCATTAATAGATGAAGAGATCAACAATTCTTATTAAYTGATAASTGGTCTCGAGAAAAGAAGAGTTTGACATACTAAACGACTTTGTAACGCTGCAACAATGGTGCACTYTAAATGAYAAAAGAAGCTAATATTTGAACTGTCATTTCAAACTGAGATTAWACTTCATGATTTGCAAACTAAAGTTGCTACAATACTGATAAAGCGATTATACTCGKGCCGTCCCTGTCTGTCAGATGATGGGTGGTCTATTGGACAGTACGGAATAGCTTCGACAGTAGAAAAACTCTAGGAAGGAAATRCAGGCCCTTGACTGCCAGACATGTCTCTATTGATATAGTTAGACATTGCTCTCGAGAAAATTGCTTACAGATATACAAGAAAGAAACCCGAACCTTTTGCGGACTGGCGAGACCTAATCATCACGTGATTTACTGTTAAAGACGATGTTCCAAAAAGTTGGCCATTGACAAGAGTAAATCGCGCAAACAATTTCTTCACTGTGCACTAGTGAGTTTTGGARAAGAAACGTACTTAGTTAAGTTAAATACTATGACTGAAATRCTGTAGGAAAACGAGGCRMTAARCGACCACTCTGTTAATACATTTTCTCGTGTACYTARGACGTCACATACAATGACGTCATGACACAGAAAGTCCAATAATTACAGGTTATAATAATGTAAAAACTACATGTGGTCAGTGTGGTCAGTTCAACGTCTACATTTATACATGTATCAGGTAGGCTGAAAACTCAAAATAACTAGAAAACCATTAAGATATCCCAAATCAAACAAGCAATGGCGAAGTAGTTTGATCCAGTAACTGCAAAGCAGACAGAGAGAACAAGTTGACTTACTTTGGTAAGGTATGGAAGTACATTAACAGTCTTGTCAATTCAACTGTRCTGTACTGTATATTGTTCCAATCAGGACGAGAGGGATTKATCAGTAGAATTGGACCATTCTGTAAATCCTTTGTACCTRTTTACAATAAAAATGCTATCCTTACTCAAAACCTACTACTGTACTGTACATATGCTGCATGGCTAGTACAAGACAATGTAATCCAAGCAAGTGTTTAGTATTTGAACAAGTTTAAACAAATCTCAAGAGGAGGGAAGACTCTGCAATCAAATGAAATGGATGATTTTTTCGAAAACAAACCCTAAAAGATATCCTAGTCTTAAAYAACACTTGACTGCTTCACAATAGAACTTAATCAATTATTATATCCAAGTAGAATGACTAATATTTTAGAATTACCTGGTAAACATGCAACTCCTGTGTGCAGTAACTCAAAGTTGATTTCAAAAATGTTCAGAGGTTTTTCCAAAAACAAAGACTGTCTACTTATCTTGCAGCTTTCCTCAAGATTGTCTGCCTTTTCGATGGCTGAAAATACCAATAACATWACTTTCAGTCTATCATGTGTGACATTTTATAATAATCAGATATCTTGATTCTTGACTGCAAAGTGAAGAGCTAGCTCACCTCTATATTTTTTAAAGCTAACATTACGTGTTGCTGACATCAAATATCTCCATGGACGTCTTTCAAGTCTTTTTGTTTTACTCATAACAATACAATTAAGAAACARAAACCTTCCATTCATCTCATTTCTCAGCTGTTCTGTCCAGTCTTTTGACCATATCTTTGGTAAGTCACTTTTATCAAGAGGTAGAGACTGGACTTGTTTGGTATCATAATACTTGATGATTAGTTGTCCAGGCACAATAGAACTAAGATGGATATAGAAATCCCCCTTGTGGAGTGTGTTGGATAACTTTGATACATGAATAACTGACTGGACAAACTTTTCGTAATATGGAATCCAATTATCATCTGGTCCTTCTGTAGCAGTGAAACATTCCTGTCAACAAAAATAATTGAGATCATTAATATCTTTTGGAGTCATTTAGATGGGATCWCTTCTAGAGTAATAATCTCAGTAGTATTAGAAGAAAAATAAGAAAAATACAATTCAAAGCATTTTTTTCTCAGTTTCTACAAAGTTTGACAATAACATACCTCAGCAGATTGCCTCACGTCCCTTAGCAACGACAAGACAGGATCAAGGTATTCTGTAATAAACTTTTTTGTGTCTTTGCCATAATGTTCTTTTATGATTTTCTCCAAGGCTGGAACATGGCATTCAAAAAGAAAATCCTGACATAGAGATTGYAAATCCCAGTCATTGTCCTCTGCCTGGTGACAAGAAAAKATAATCCAGTTATTACTGCTAGTTATTTTAAATTTGGTATAAAACTCAGAACTTGACTGTAGATTTATTCATACTCCTTGCCTATATATGTGTACATGTACTTCTTATCATATCAAGTTCACTCAAATTGGTATTTAATTGGTTTCTGTSTACCTTCACTTTAATAATTAATCAAATCATCACTCATTCAGCTTTGTGTAGTTGAAATGCATTATTTAATTATGGACATTAAGTACAGGAAAAATTTTAATTTTAAAAGAAACACACAAGGGTYGAATAAAACTCAAGTGAAATCAAAGAGTGAAAGTTGGGTATGATATTTGTACTACCAAGYTATTTACAAATACATTGATCATGTTAGTTGATATCCCAGCATTATTTCAACCAGTTTATTTGAAGCAAGTTTCTTAATTTGCCATAGCATCTTTTATCAATGAGCAGTACCTATGATAGACATACACATTGACAGCCCACATTAAATTGATTTTACCACATTCCTTCAATCAATAATTCACAGGAGTTGATATCTTCAACTAACAAATGTTCACACTAATACTTTTCTATAAAATCAACCAAATTGCACAACTGGTAATATTTTAATTTAACTGATTCCCTGCTATTGGGATGATTTGTGAGCTATTATTTTACTGCTGGGCTTTCCAACATTGTTATCAACAGGAGAGGTATTGTCTTTGAGGCAAGCAGATGGCTACTACCTGCTTCCTTCATGCTGGAATAGTATGGATGTCMTTTAAGAAACAAAAGTCAAATACTTAGTCTTACATGTAATGACTGCTGGCTAGAAGATATTTGGCATAAATCAGAAATAATTTGAAAACTGTAAGATAGCACAGAAACTAAAATAGGATTGATTCTACTTGATGACACTGTTTCATTTTCAACAATATCTATTTGTCGTTTTTCAATGTTTCACAACTCTGTTATTATATATACGAAAATTTTACTTCTTTACACAGAATGTCGCTGATAGCTGCAGGTCATAGCAGTGCCATTGTCTGTAGTCATTTTGCATGCATGATTTTAGATTTTAATAATATATTCTGAMTTGAAATAAAAAAGATCACAATGCAGTAAATGAACCTGCTATATTTTAACAAGCCATCTAGAAAAACCAGTGTTCAATGCTGATATGCAGATCGTTTTTCTATATCTTTTAATTAATTATTTGACAAAATGAACAATCACAGGTCATGTAAATGTTGACTAGATTTGCGGATTATAAATCTGTTTATCTTGTGCTGTCGTTTTCCTGTCTTTAAATACATGWTTTGAGATGTAAAATGTCTTATATTTAGTTGCGTGATGATTCATAATAAATGGATGAACAATGCGTGTCGCTGCACAAATGGCGCAAAGCTCGATAACTTCATTGAACAAAAGCGCAATAAATTTGAATAAAAGCAGGTAAGATAAGCTTAAATCAATGATTTCAAACCTACAACAACGCTAAACATTGCAACAGATCCTAATTACTTAAAATGATTTCACATGATTTTATCTTTAATCTTTATGTTTTGACATCCCATACGAACTAAGGTTCACAACAGATCAGCAAAATCAGACAATAACAGCARCGAATGAATGAAGAAAGTGTTGCAGGAGCATGTTCTATGGATGAACTAGTGGGTGCACCTCCTAAACATTTTCTTTAAGTATAGAAGGTTTAATTAAGACGGCAATCACGGCAAAACAGATGAGTTACAAGTAGAGTTAAGAAGTTACAAAAAACCCTGTTAATAAGAGGTCATTATTTAAGTTTACCATGTTTACTGATCACAACGATGAAGGATATCGTGTGACGACATGAGTTAAGAAGTTGTTCTCATATTTCATGTAACATTCGAACAAGAAATCACATACAGAACTACAGATACTACCAAGTCAAAGTTGTAAAATTACGCAAAAACGATATTATCTTCATGCAGGCTGCTTATGTGATTAGCTTCACTAGTTAGCGACATAAACTGAAGCAAAATTACACGCGATACGTCTCACCTTCTCAGCTGTAGACATTGAGCAGTAGAATGTTCTTTTGTCAGATACTAACAAATATTCCTGGACACATGACCGATTTATAATTACTCAAGGCATTGTACTATGATGTTCCATCGTTAATCTACAGTCATTTCATTCAATAGTCTTCAAGACACTTCCGTTAGACGGCCATTTTATTCATGTATGTTTAGATGTTGTTGCGCATGCGTATCATAGGTATCTTRCTACCCCTCACCCCTTCTACCCCACCCACCAACGCGTAAACATGCTGATGCACGCTGGCTTTTTGTCAGAAAACTCTTTAATTAAAWTATGAGAAGATTTCTCTTAACTGACGCTGATACACCTTAAACACAAATAAACAACGCAGGTAGTGGCAAAGAGGACCGATTCATTCGCAATCAAATTTACATTATTTCAAACGCTTTCATTTAGGCATGAAGAATGTAAGAAAAAAGGAGGAAAAACACATGATGAACTTCGTCGTTATTAACATTWTTATAAGCTACCTAAGTAATAAAGCTATAAATATAGCGAGTGTTATTCTTTTGATCGGGATCCCTGGGTGCCATCACCAGGTCAGCGTTACGTAGTTCTTCACTGCGCATGCTTACTAATCAATTTCATTACACTAGAACTTTTTAGTCAATAGGTTCTCAATAGTACTAAAAATACTCAACAAATTGTTAAAAAACTATGAACAGGTTAAGCACATTTGAAGGTAAGTTCAATTTAAAAAAATATGGAAAAAATAAGTTAATTAATTAGAACGAATGATCGGAACACGTGTTTACTAGGTTCATAAGTCTTTGAACATTCAGTATCTAAAATATGCTTCTTTTCTTAATTTCATATTGGCCCTGATACCTAATGAAGAAGCAGCTAAAAGGTAAGTTCAGAACTTGTAGGTCTGTAAGTATCTCAACAAACTTAAAGTACTTGTTTGATTTTAGTCTTGAAACAGTGGCTACAGAATGCAACAAGACAAAGAATGTAGACTTGGATTTACTCATCAATGAATATGAAAAAGGCTCGCAGTTTGTTGAAAGTCTGACGTCTGTAGAGCAAGACCCAGTCATACAAGTATGCCAGTTCTTGTGGTTCAATTGATTGTTGATTGACTGCCAGCTCTAGCTGTGTGTAGCTGTATGATGCATGAGATAGCAACTTGTTAATAGCTGTGCAGGATAAATGACAGGGTGACTGTGTGATTGATTGGAAAAGTGAATAAATTATTGGTTTAATGTTTTTTGGCAAAACAGCTGRCTAYCAAACAAAGTACCTAGTTGAATTCACCTTGTTTTCTTTTATAGAATGCATTGCAACAGCTAACAGTCAGTCAGAGTCACAATCTTAACATTCTGCTTAAGAAAAGGTCACAGCTTGACCAAGCAGGTTTRGTTCCATCAGATCAAAATGGTAAGTAACTCACATTGGTTGACATGGGAATTATTCGCAATACACAGATACTGTAGTGGATAATATTGCTTTGTTCCTTACTATTGTCTTTTACTATTGTGGCCTATCGTTGCTGGTYAATCGCACTCCTACTCAACTAACAAAAAGGGTGTGTGGATAGTTGCAGTGATGAATGAAATAGGATACTCCTCATTTTGTTGTTGAGTGAGACTGAGAGACATAACATTATTCACCAGTATTAATACATRTATGACTGTTTATACTACTGGAGAAGTTTCTAACTGTATTTTCAATTAGCAATGGCAGCAACATCAAGTGATGATGAGAAACAAGTAAACAARAGTGACAGGTACAGTCACKGAATTYAAATGTTGCATTATAAAACCTTTTATATGCAGGGCGTCCAATATGAAGAAAAAAATATATTTTCAACTCAAATTCAGGAAGTATGYCRGATTATCAGCTGAAGTCATTCTTCTTTCCACATAATCTAGTCGTAGAATTGCAATAGAAGATACCATTGTTTGCAATAAAGCGGTGAAGTTTGCTGATGTTGCAGGCCTTGAAATGGCTAAAGAGACATTACGTGAAGCTATAATCATGCCTCTCCAATACCCCCACCTTTTCACAGGTATGTTGTCAATCAAGGATTAAATTGTTGCATGCTATTGATATTTTAACAATTATGTACCCTAAACTAAGGTGGGAGAAGACCATGGAGGAGAATTCTGTTGTATGGACCACCTGGGACAGGTACAATTCCTTTATTATGGATAGTCATTAGATGGTGGGAACTAGTGGTAAACTAGTGTGAGCTGCGTCGGTGTTTCTAAAGAAACAGTTRTGTAAAAAGATAAATTTAGCACCGTAAAAAAAGTATGTGAAATAACTTACTGACRTTTCGGACGTTAATCCTCCGACAAAGGATTAACATCCGGAACGTCAGTTAGTTATTTCACATCCTTTTTTTACGGTGTTAAATTTATCTTTTTACATAACTAGACATTAGATGGACTATTTATATGGTAAATTCAGTCAGGGGGAAGCAGGGACACTTATCAGAATGTTTGTCTTGCATTCTTCTTAGGTAAAACAAGGCTTGCACAAGGTAGGGTACTTTATTAAACATAAAATTTCACATACAAGCTGCCAGGACAAGAGAATTAAATCAGTCTTTTATCTCAGCTGTTGCATCTGAAGTCAGGTCAACATTTTACAGTGTGTCAAGCTCTGACCTCATCTCAAGCTGGGTTGGAGAAAGTGAAAAGTATGAGAAGTTTAGCTTATTACTATATTTGTAGATGTTGTGGATTCATTCATTTGAACATTTTTTAGATTGATCAAAGAGCTGTTTCATGATGCACGTACAAGACAAGGGAGATCAGTAAGAATTATATTTGTCAAGACAAAATAGAACATTCAGATAACAATTACTGCAAAAGTGCTTTTAAACTGCTTTAATTCCAGGTAATTTTCATTGATGAAATTGACAGTATCTGCAGAAAAAGATCCACTAGGGAAGAAGAACATACAAGACGAATAAAAACTGAACTGTTGAAGCAGGTAAGGCATGGAAAAAGTTGCTAAGCTACATGAATTATTGAGCAGCCACATTTTACCATGATTGTGATTTTGATATGTTTTAGATGGAAGGCATTGGAAATTCTGACAATGAAAGATATTTTCTTCTTTGTGCAACAAACTGTCCCTGGGAATTAGATGGTGCTTTCCTTAGAAGGTTTCAGAAGAGAATCTATATCCCTTTACCAGACAAGTTTGTATCAGCTTATGGTCATCTCTTAAAGTTTTTCCTTTGACTCTTTGTTTCACCATTTCAGGGAGGCAAGAATTCATTTGATGAAGATGCACTTAGSATCCACCCCATCACAATTGACAGAGCAAGACTGGTCCTTACTTGGTGATAAAACAGAAAGTTACTCAGGCAGTGATTTGGCAAACTGTATATCTGATGCACTATTTGAACCAATCAGAGAGCTTCAGCATGCAAAATACTGGCAATGTAGTGAAGGTAGAACTTTATGATGTGTGATGTTGTGATGGTAGACATGATGGAGTAAAGTGCATTTAGGATAAATGAATTGATGGAAGCTATCACAATGAAGGAAACATGTGACGAAAACTGACATTACTGATGTGATTAAATAGAATTCTCTTTTTCTAGATGGTTTCTATGTACCATGCAATGAAAACTATTCTGGGGCAACAAAAAGAGTCTTGTCAGAAATACCACAGGAAAAGGTATTTGACTTAAAAACTACTGTAACTAGCAACACATCACTATAACAGTGTTGTCTGTTTCATAACTTGTTTCTTGTACACAGGTTCATCCAAGGAATATTGTTTTGGCTGATTTTTTTAAGTCATTRACACACAACCAAAGGACAGTAACTGATGAGGACCTGGAAAGATACCATTCATTTACACAGTCGTTTGGACAAAAAGGATGAAAATAACAAAACTCATTCAAATATGCAAATATGACAATGAATCAAATACAAAGTCAAGGATCAAAAGCTGATTTTTGGAAGCAATGTAACAATCCGACAATTTGTTATTCAATTGWTTTTACCAACAAACAGTATAAAAATTTGAAAGTTTTATATATTTTTAACACTGCAATTGAATAAAGTTGGGTGTTGATACATAGTCCACTACACTATTAACAGGTGAATTATTATCAGTGAATTAGTGATATAAAAGTGCACTTTGGTGTCTTAGTCAGGAGTTTATGATTTCTTTCAACTGATCTCTTTCCAAGGATAAAAGAAAGCATCTGTAGGTTTCCTGTCCTTCCGCCGCCACAATTTTTTCTTCTCTTTTGTCTTAACATTCTCGCACCAACCGCTGACAGCATACTTTTCTTTCCATTTGATTATAAACTGGAAATAGAGAAGATAAATAACTCAAAACYTGGTGCACTGTACTCAGTTGAGAAACWCGCTATAATTGCAGATTTAGTASTCTAGGTGGACTACATATGGCTTGATGCCTGCAGATTTTCTTGGTTTACACAGCTAATCCTTTTCTAATGGAATTTCAAACTTATCTCACAGTACTCCCTGATTTCTGCATTATATCTGTAGATATCACTGAAACTTAGATGGCAATGAAGAAAATAACTTCTTCTTGGAATCAAATTGCAAGTAAATATTTACCTGAGGGTCCCACAACTCACTTGCCACTCCCAAATCCTTACAACATCTCATTAGTGCATTTGATTTAGCAGCTTCCATTGCTTTGCCATAAACCATGTTACCATTTGAATAGAATGTATGTTCTCC